GCCGCCGGCGCAACGCGTGCGGGCGGCCCCGCGGGCCCCAGGGCTGCCGTCGTGCCAAGGTTGAAACCTGGTCCTCCATCCACAGGCTCTCCCTCCGCCCTCCCTCCACCGTGGCTCGACGCGCCCTCTCCAACCTCGTCCTCCTCAGTCGCGAATTCCTCTTCCTCCTCTGCGATGGGAGGCAGCGACTGGGGCAGGGTGGCGGGTACGGGTTGCCAGGTGAAGCTGCGAGTTGTGATCGCTTGGCGTTTTTCGTTGAGGACGTTCACGCAATCACGGTTGGTGTTGATTCCTGGGCCGAGGTAAAAACACTTTGGGGCTTTCGGCTCGGACTTGTGTGTGCGCTTGACCTTGTATACGGCAGGTTTGACGAACGGGCACGTCGCCCCCGGCGGGAGGGTGCCCGTGCCACATCTCGCACGGCGACTTCTTCTCTGGGTTGGATGTGGTGGAGGTGCAGTTCAGGGCGTTGCATGCCCAAGGTATGGCCTCGGTCCAAAGGGAGGGGTAGTTCGGTGCTCCGGGGTAAAGAGTTGGCGCTTGGATACGGGCGGCTAGTGCTGNGGGAGGGTGCCCGTGCCACATCTCGTACGGCGACTTCTTCTCTGGGTTGGATGTGGTGGAGGTGCAGTTCAGGGCGTTGCATGACCAAGCTATGGCCTCGGCCCAAAGGGATGGGTAGTTCGGTGCTCCGGGGTAAAGAGTTGGCGCTTGGATACGGGCGGCTAGTGCTGCATCCTTGATCAGACCCAGTGCTCTCTCAGCTACACCGTTGTATTCTGGGCTGTGCGCGGGGGTGAACTCCTGTTTGATGCAGTACTTCCAGCACACCTTGCCGAACTCTCCCTCAAAGAACTCTCCTCCATTGTCGGATCTCACGACCATGACATCGGACGGGGCACCGTCTGCCCGGTTTTCTGCAAGGTACCTCTCGAATGCCTCAGCGGCATCTGATTTGTGCTTCAGGAAATAGACACGGTTCCACCTTGTGTAATCATCCTTGACAATGAGATTGTACCACTTCCCCCACAAGCTCTGCACCCTCACTTTTCCACTCAGATCCATGAAAACTCGCTGCCGTTTCTTAAACTGCTCGGGTTGACGTCTTGTTGGGGATGGGCTTCGAAAGCCCCTTCGCCGTCGAGCACCCCAGGCACTCCCGGAGCTCGCCCACCAGCGTCGTCCCTTGCTGCTTCGCCGTGGTCCTCAGCAGCACCTCGTGGGAGTGGCCGTGCGCGCAGTGGAAATCGTTGATGTCAACGGGGGTGGTGGACGCTTTCGCGTTGCCAGGAGCGATTGCGGCACAGGTATGTTCGGTGTGCTTGCGGAAACCGTTTTGGACGTACAGGTTACCGCATCGGAAGTACGCCAACTCCCCCCCCCCTCTCTCCAGTTCCCCTTCCCCCGGTGTTTGCCATCGGGGTTGGGCTTTCGTCGCTTGGCAACGACGTTGTAAAACAAGCCAATTCACTCCGTGAGCTCGGCAACCAGGTTACCGGTTTTCTTTTTTTTCCTCCGTTTTTATTTTTGGCGGTAACCATAATGGTGGTCGAGTAGATCATGTTGTGCNGTGTTTGCCATCGGGGTTGGGTTTTCGTCGCTTGGCAACGACGTTGTAAAACAAGCCAATTCACTCCGTGAGCTCGGCAACCAGGTTACCGGTTTTCTTTTTTTTCCTCCGTTTTTATTTTTGGCGGTAACCATAATGGTGGTCGAGTAGATCAT